AAATTTCGTGAAGTTTTTATTTAAAGTATTGAATTCTTTAAAAAAAAAAAAAAAAAAAGGTGTTAAATGGGACACGGACCTTGTTACCTGTAGCCACCTAGGGTGAAATCCCCTACTCCGTCACTAACTCGAACACTTGATTAAGTGAGTAATCCTCGCTCTCGCGGATATCGAATTTGACGAATGTTTTTTGTCATCCCTAAAATAGGGCAGCCATAATTGGAGCCATTGACTGTATAAACAGTCGGATTCTTGATTATAATTTTGGGAGAAGGGCATCCAAATAGGGACCAAATTTAGAGAACCGAAGTTTTGTTTATCTTTTAAAAGCATCTCTAAGATAGTCTTTAAGCTTGATATACTCTCTATTTTGAAGAATCAGCCCTTAAAATCATGCCTCAAGAGGCTCTTAAAATTAAAATTTTTAATTTAGAGAGTGGGTTTGGCACTCCAAATTTAGAGAGCCAAATCCACTCCTTATAATTAAATGTATTCAAAGTATTTTAATTTTTAAAGTATAAAAATAATAAAATAATAAAGAAAAAAATAAATAATTTTTTAGAGTAGTAAAATTAAATGTTAAATATAAAGAGTTTGTTAGAGTATTTCAAAATTTTAATTTTCTAAATTTATAAATGCTATCTAAATTATAGAATATACTCTTTAAAAATAAAGAGTTTTTTAGAGTTGCTCTTACCAAATTGACTTCACATGTTTGGAATGAGATGTGTTACCGGTACCACTCGATAAAAAAACATATAAGGTACTTGTTTATAAACTAATTATAAATATAGAATGAAGCTATATGCACAGAGAAAAATGTCAAGGAAATTGTCAGGTGCTGATGTTATGGCTGTAAGCAAAAATCGAAAAATCGAACCGAAATCACATTTGAGAAATCGTCAGTTTGGTGCCGCTTGGACTCGGTCAACGAAATGGTTTTGACCCAAACTAAACTGGTTAAAATGGTTTTGTTTAGGTTTGAGAATTTTAATTGCGATTTAAAACCAAACCGAACCGACGAAAAAATATAAAAAAAAATAAAAAAATGAAATTTTTTGAAAATTCATCCAAATATGTAAAATTCAATAGTTTTGTCATTTGTGGGTATTTTTGTCAATTCCTAATTTTCTAATATAGATATATTATTATTATTATTATTATTATTATTATTATTATTATTATTATTATTATTATTATGATGATGATGATGATCATCATCATCATCCAATAACCCTAATATATATTTAATAATTTTAAAACTAACATAATCTATCAAAATTCTTTTTCCTCTTCAAAATTTAGATGAACTCCAGTCGACACCCACACAGTTTTGAGTCACCGGCACCACACACTTCTTTTCAGATTTTTCACGCCTCTTCAAAGTCGAATTGAAGTCCATTATACCAAATCGGAGACAAAGAGATCCTCAACCTTTGGTGATAATATTTGCTACAAATAAAGTTTCAGATCAATAATTTTTTGGAGCAAATTAAGGTAAGAATCTGAAATTAAATGTGTTTCGTAATATCATACAAATGTAAACTTGTGTAATTGTTATGTTTAGATATTATAAATAATTGCTTTATTATTGTAGTTGGTTATTCTCTTTGTTTAACCAATATATTTTTTTTTCAGATATGATGATCACGAGGTCTTGTTGGACATCATTATGTTTTTTGGACCTTATATCTTGTTTAGTAGACTTGTATTGTAACGTTACTGTATCGTCATTAACCTAAAAAAGGTGAACAAAAAAGGGAAAAAAATTTTATGTTTTAGTTTATTGTGATTTCACTTTGATTTAGTTAATATTTAAATTTATAGTAGATATATTTAGCCTCCGTTTGAGCCATATTTTTCATATCATCATAATGAGAAAATTGATTATTGGAGAGGAGGTTGGGTCCCACACATGAAATAGTTGGTCAACAAAGGCGGTTGGACTTGTGGAATAACGATCCAAATTTTCATTTTTTGTCCCAAAAATTTGGTTCAAACAGGGGCTTAGTTTGTTTTAGATTTATTACTAGTGAGATATAAATATATATTAAATTAAATGAATTAATGACATAAAAATAGACGGGTAAAAAAATATATGGCGAAACCGGCGATTTAAAACCGGACCAAATCGTTAAGTTTAGGTTTGAGTTTTTTTCAAACCGTTCAAAATGGTTTGGTTTAAGTTTGAGTTTTTTCTCAAATTGTTTTAAACGGCTTGGTTTGAAAATTTGTCAAAAATCGGTAAAATCGGACTGCTTACACCCCTGGCTGATGTAACGGATTTTGATCGACTCTTTTAAATCTTTTTTTGTGCAAAGTCCAATAAAAATCTGTGACTTGACATTCTGGTAGTCTCCTTAGCACTTGCTCTTATATATGTAGCATCTTTGTCAAATGTAAAATAAATGATAGATAAGTGATTAATATTTGTAGATTCGACAAAATATGTGAAAGAGTGGTGGATTGTAGAAATATATAAAGAAACATGGATAATCAATTTTTATCAGAGCAAAAAATTGTATACCAATGAGTCAATTTTTCCTAAATTAAAAGGGAAACTTATCGACGTACATTTCACCGACTTTTATTAAAATTTATTAAAAATTTAATTTTAATTCCCGTCAAATGTTAAAAAGACTAATTTATTGTGTTCTACTTGGTTTGATTGGTCGATAAAGTATAATACCGTATTGGTACTGACTTGTTTGCAGAAAAATGGAAGAAATTTCGAATCCTCTCTCCTCCGATCTACCCACCACCACCACTACTCTTCCCATCCCGGGCGCCGCCGATGAGAGCAACCCCTTAACTTCTACCCCATCCAGAAGAATTACAGGTCCGGCTAAGTGGCCCACAATCGATGGTCCATTGGGGCTCTCATATCAGGATTCAGTAGCTTACGCTCGTAGATTCTTCAATTTCGGATTTTTCTGTCTTCCTTTCCTTTGGGCGGTCAATTGCTTCTATTTCTGGCCCGTTCTTCGCCACCCGAATTCTCATAATTCCCACGCCCTATTCCGCCGCTGTAAGCCTTCCCATCTCTGTATATGCAAATTTACCTGCATGCATTTCTTTAAGTTAATTTTTAAGAGTTCGGTGAAGAAAGTTACCCATTTGAGGTTCTGAAGAGTATTGGACGATTTATATTTTTTTAGTGGTCTTTAATATGTAAAATGATCTTTAGGGTGTCTAGTGTTTAGCCTAGAAATTCACTCTTAAGAAAGTGTTTGTGCGAAATGCGGATTATGATAGGAAATTTTATGTGGTTCTGGATGTTTTGTTCTGGGATATAAATTTTGAAGGGAATTTGTAATCACCCCCCTTGCGTGCTCCCTAAGTTCCATAAATTGGTAAAGAATTGGATATAAAACTATGGTGTATACTTGGTGATTAAGAACATTTTTATTGGATTAGTAAATAGTTGTTTGTGTAGAGACGATTCTTAAGTAAATCATTTTAAGAATCTAGTAGATGGAAGTAGAGTGATTTACCTTCATGTACACTTAAAACTAACTATTAGCTCTCGAGTCAAGTTCAAAACGAGCGTGGAAGTATCCTTGCTAATAATGCTAAAATCTCGTTGTCTTTTCTACGAGTTTTGCTACTGGGCATAGTATGTGATGTGATCATTCACTTTTACACAAATTAACTCTCAGCTTATCCTATCCACAAGGGGTTTTGTTTTCACTTGTTACCATTACACTTTCTTTCTCCTTTCTAAAATACAAAGCACACACATTTTATACCAAACAATAAGCAATTAACAAACCAAAACAGATTGTCACTAGGTAGACCTGTTGCTTTAAGAATGTCACCGGTCAAGACATTTTCTTGCATTAGTTCAGCTCGTGACACATGATGTTTATTTTTTATAATTCTTTTGTCTACCTCTACTCATAACATTAGCTTTATCAACAACACAACGTTGGCATCGAGTCTGAAAACATTTGGAAGCAAAGGACAATATTTGATGGAATAGATAATTCTCTTGGTTTAGATATTTATAAATGAAACTAGATTTTGGATGAATTCTAAAACAATTTATAAATCATTGTATGTATTATTGCGTGCTTTTTGTTTCAGTTAATTTGAAGGGTTTGGTTAAGAAAGTTAATCGTTTGAAGTTTTTACGAGTATTGGATGATTTATATGTTTTGAGTGGTTTATAGTATGTATAAGAATGTTAATATTGTTTTTAATAGAGATCAGTAGTTGAAATTAATGCATAAACTCAGCTCTACCATGCTCTTCAAGAAATGGTTTGACCTCTATGACTGGACAAATACTCCTTGTTGATTTTCTCGAGTTATGCACAGTCCAAGATACTGCTTAAAGGTTTGGACTGTTTTGTCTCCACATAAAAAAATCTCCGAGTTGTTATACTGGACTTGATCATCTTGTGTATAGAAAACCTTATCTTTTAGAAAGGACAATAAACGGATGATTGGACTTGTCTTTTAAGTTTCGTATTTTTGTCTCATATACTAATTTGATCACCTCAAAACAATCTTTTTATAACCTTGAAATTGGTAGGGAAAGTAAGTAAGCCCTGATGCTGCCTTTTCTTCTTATCTGGCTGCGACAACTGATAACCGCTCTTCCCTTTTAGACTTCTTGACTGATACCAGACATCTCAGTGGAAAGAGAAGACATGAACAACAATTATAAGAAATTCTCCATCCACATTTTCATATTCTCCTAACTGTAAATTTTTCTTTGGGTTTAGGAGGGGAGGGGTTAAAATAAACCGTAGCATCTCAAGTTCATTTACTGATTCTTCCTTTTGTACAGATGTTGTTGGATCAGCAATTGGCTTCTTGGCGTTTGCTGTGATTCTCTCTTCATGGTCTGTTACCTTTATGATTGGCGGGAACCAACTTTTTGGCCCGGTGTGGGATAAATTAGTTATGTACAATGTTGCCGAAAGATATGGATTAACTGAGCTTATCTAGATCTACATGTTAGCGGTTTCAGTTCCATAATCGGCATGGATATAGTACGTGTTTTCTTTTGCTGAAAAAGATTATCAATGTGAGTGTTCAAGTTACTGCATTGTATTTTATGAGAAAGTTAACTTACTAATGTTTTTCTCCTTGGAGGAGTTATTTCATGAGCTGAAGTATCTTTATTAACATGGTTGATGCACCGTTGCTGAAGTCTGGTTCTTGGGGTAGAAAGGGATGGTCAGTATCCTTGTGGCATGGTTTCATACTTCTTCGACTCTTTAGCTGTCTACAAAGGGTTGCTTGAATGAAATCGGTTTTGTTTGTAAACGAAGATTTTGATTGAAACAGTAAATTTCATTGTTAGATTGTTTTTATTGAACCATCAAGATTCATAAGGAACGAAGAAAATTCCAAAATATATATATGCACATACTCCAGAGGCAAATCCAAGCGGAATAGGCATTTTTCTTGTCGTTTGTTTTGGAGATTGTTTTTCTTTTGAATCGAGAGGAACTGAAGAAGTTCAACGAAGAATGTACCTTGGGATTAACTTACCATGTGACTGGATTTTGTTATCAACGAAGAATGTACCTTGGGATTAACTTACCATGTGACTGGATTTTGTTATGTTTTAAATGTCTGATATTTCTACACGAAATTGAAAAGCCAAAGTATAAAATATATTCAACACGAGAGTTAGGATCACTTTTCTTTAATGAATTTCACTATGATGAAGAAGAAGAACATTAAAATATATTACTGAATTTGTCTCTCATTTGTGTGTGTACAACAAAGGATGCTCGTTCCAGCATTCATGTGAGGAGGAAATATTAATGCGAATTAATGTACAAACTTTTCAAATATTAAGTCGATTTGCAATTAAAATTTCAGTGAGCAATCAAAGACATGAACTCAAGTTTAGTAAGCAATTAAAGATATTGACTTAAGTTCAGTGACCAAAATTCAATTTTTTAAACTTCAGTGATCAATTAAAAATGTGGACTTAACTTCAGTGACCATTGAAACAATTAACTTCAAAATATTTAGAAGAAATTACATCAATTACAGATTTTAGAATAAAGAAGAGAAAGACGCCAAACGGAGTACTAATTACTGTGTCGCCACCGTCGAGGGTCCTAGATACTAACCTGGTTTCCGGCCATATATCTTACCGTTCTTCAGCCTGCTGCTCTGAGAGAGAGAGAGAGAGAGAGAGAGAGAGAGAGAGAGAGAGATATTTGGGGAGAAAAGAAGAGAGAGGACGAGGAGAATTACTTCGATAGGAGTCCTATAAGGGAGGGCCACCTGTCACCCACCCCTGAGGCGTGTGGGCCACATGTTGATGTGGCACCTCGGCATTGGACGTGGCAGTGCGACCATCCTGTCGAAGTATTTTTCAATAACGAGGGTTTCATTTGAAAAGCGTTTTCCATTTCTTTTTGGCATAAATCCACCATGGCCACCCTTTCCACAATGCATAAAGTTGGAAAGTATAAAGTCGGGTGGTTAACGAAAGACAAAATCAAATGATGCTATACATACACTTTTTGTATACATAATCGTTGACACTCTACTCACATGGAGGGAGTCAGTACATAATTTATAAGTCATGTTTGACCTACATTCTTTTCAAAAAGTGCATTCTTCAACAGCGATTTGACATCATTTCAACCACTCATCTTTCAATAAAATAATATTACACGCAAATTCAAAACTTTTTTTTAACTATACAATTTTCATCAATACGTTATTCAAAAATGCATTTTTATGAAAATAACATGGTTCAAACAAAGGCATTATGTGTGGATTTCCCTCCATGTTAGGGGTGCATCATTATTTTGTACACCGAAATTGTACAAATAGTATTATTCAGTGATCATGACGACACTGAGTATAAAGTTGGGTGACTATTGACTTAATCCTTTATTTTTCTATTAAAATATCGCCACATGTACACCTTCTGGAATGTTATTAGTCCCCATTTTTTTCAAAAATTAATTCTTTTCAAAATTCTTTTTGAACTATATATTTTTCTATAAAATAATATTACATGTAAATTCATAATTTTTTCTTATTTTTTGACCACTCATTTTCCAACAAAGCACTATTTTAAAATACATTTTGGATATAAAAAAAGGGCTTAGGGACTTTCTGTTTTTGCTTCTTTAGTGGATTTTGAGCAAAAAAAGAGCTGTTGAAGGGGACTGTGGGTTCCACCAGTAAGAGGGCTCGTAAAAAATGATGGTTGCTTTTGATTTCCATCAAGAAAAAAACAATTTTTGGGATTCAAAAATTCGTCCCAAATTGTAATTGCAGTTAAACTCCTCAATCTTTGTTCATTATAGCAACTAATTCCTTAAGTTTTTTCAATCAAATTCTTCTGTTCAACATTTCATCAAATTTGTTTTACCTTTTGTCCAATCAGATATTTTCTTCATCTTCCTAATTTCTTCATCTTTCTATTTCACGGAAGACGGCACTAGAGCTATGCTCGAGCGGAATGAATAATTTTTATTTTGATAAAGATGATGCGCCGAGAACAGCAGTCTCAACGACCTTAATGAGTCCAAGGTACTAATAGTGATACACACGAGAACTTTGTCTAAACGATATGGGGTTAAATATTGCTAAACTTATAATGAAAGGTCGGTTTGAAATCTCATTATATTAAATTTTATTACATTTTATTTTTTCTCTCTCCTATTTTTAATCACACGATCGTCCATAAAATAATATTACACATAAACTTAAAACTTTTTCTTCTTTTTCAACCACTCGATAAAAAAAAATAAAAATAAATACTATTCCACTTATTTTTATTTCCAAAAAAGGGACCAAATAGGGACTAAATTTTGTTACAATTTGATCATTTAATAGCCTTTCAGTTTGACTAACCAAAAAGTAACATGGCAGTCTAGTTATTTGTCAACTAGGCTGCCAAGTCAGCTTTTTAGTTAGTTAAACCAATGGACGTGAGTCGAATAATTAGAACAGTCTTTGAAGTTAAGAGACCCAACAATAACAAAGCCTTCGAAGTTAAGCAACCCAACAATAACACAATTTAAGTTCCTGACCAACTTTGAAGAAATGAAGTTCAATGATCACCTGACTACACATCTTCAAAGTTCAATGATCACCTGAAATTTTAATCGAACAATATTGTTTTACTCGAGAATCATTCTGAATTAACTCTCTTGCTTTCATATTACTTGTGCAAGGAAAATACAAGAACGATGACATCCTTGCTAGTGTCTCCCCCATCAAGCCCATTACGGAATCATGGACAAGCTCAAATGAGCTGTTTTCTTTCACCTCCACATCCATCTTATGCTGTTGTTGGGCAAAACAGTTACAATCGTAACGAACTCTATGTGCTTCTATTGAGGCCCAACACAAGAAGCACACTCGATCCATGGCTTGAAACTCCTCAATTTAGAGCTTATACACCTGTTAGATGTTGGAAGAATTTTGTGAATAGAGATGCCAAAAATAAGTATAAAGATAGGGACAAAGCCGAGGCAAGAGTTGGACTCTTTGTCCTTAAGTCGAATTTGCCCCGCAACGGTGCCTACGGATTTCGGCAATCGACTCCCAAGATACAACGGCTACACTTGTGTTTGTAGCACTCCAAAACACAAGTACAACGAACCAAATTTAGGCTTATGTACTCCAAAAATGAAATGAAAGAAAATCAAAATAAATGAAATGATTTTGATTTTGGATAGAAGAGAGGATGAGAGACGTTTTGCATATCAAACTGTGAGGAATAGGACACCCAAAGGGTCCTATTTATAGACCATGAAAGGGTGTCGACGAAATGGTTGAGGCCAAACCATGCACCCTTTCCAAACAATGCACCTTTATGAAAAGGTGTCTATTTACTGATTTTCGTCATTTTTCGTAATTTCTCATTCATCCGATATTGGTTTTCGAAATGCCAAATATACCCTTCAATACATGCAGAGAAATCAAAATTCTCTTTCGGGGGCGTTGCCCCCGACCCCCCACGAGGGTATATTTGGCATCCCCGTTTGTGCGCCCCGAAGCGGTGAAGTGGCAAACAATTTTGCTTAAACGGATTGAGTCGAGTTTTTGAGTATTTGGCCGAAGTCGATACGAAGTCACTTTAATCGATTTTCAATTCTCGATTTATTTAACCAATATCCAACATTAGATCCCCAAGAGCACATCCAATTCTATAGGATTCCGACACGTTTAGAACATCTACTGAAATAACTCCAAGATATCTAGCGCGGACCAAGAAGCATGCATGAGGCACAAACTCACCAAGATGCGGCTGGATTTTATGATGAAATTTTCTAGATGTTTTGGAAAGTAATGGTGCAAAACGGAGAACATACTGCAATCTGTAATCGTGATCTTCATGTAATGGCTTCAATCAAGGGACTTGAGGGAGCACTGAACTTGCCTTGCTTCAGGTCTCACTTTTGTTTTGTGAAGTCTTAAGAGTAAACAAATTCCTTACTATGTACATTCAGGCATTCACATGTCCATTTAATCAGGCAATGACATTTGCTTGTGCTCCCATGTCTATTTAATCAAACTGAAAAAATGATTATATAACCACCAACACTTGAAAGAACACTTTGCACAAATGAACTATCCATCTCAATAAACGAACTGTAAAATACAATAAGGGCCCGTTTGGTTACAAAAGTGGAATTGAATTGAATTGAAAACGAATTTCAAAGAATTGAATTATCTAGAAATTATTTTCCTGAAAATTGTAAATTATTGTGTTTGATTGGTATAATTTTCCACGTGAAAAAGGTTGAAATAAGTGTTTTTTTATGTTCGTTTAGTTTTGTTTTACATGAAAAAGTCAATTAAAGGGATATAATTTACTAGTATTGGGTATGAAATTTGTTTTCATTGCCAACAAAAAAATAAAAATTAAGAAAATTATCTATCTTTTGTTGTTCATTTGTCTTTGTTTTACATGAATATTGCCAGTTAAAGGGAAATATTTTTTTACAATAATTTTAGAATTTATTTCCATTACAAAATAATAATAATAATAATAATAATAATAATAATAATAATAATAATAATAATAATAATAATAATAATGTCAAAGTAGGATGGTGTGAATTGATTTTCAAGGAAAACCAAGAAAAGAACAATTTCCAAGACAATTAAGAAAATGAATTCCATGAAAAAAGTGTGCTATCAACACTACAATTTGGGTGGAATTCTATTTTCCATGGAATTGGCCCTATCAAACACACCCTAAGCTCAGTTCGTGGTTCTATTACGTCGCATTAACTCCAAGAACATACACGCACATAATCAAAATGCAAAATTCAAAGAGAAACCATGAACAACATTCAACTTAACTTATAGTGCATATTACATAAACATGACTATTACAAGATCAATCTTTAATCAATTAAATGTAAGGAACTAAGTCACGGATCACTTCCCTCTTGTTTCACCTGCTCTTCCGTAGCTCTTCCCTCTTGTCTCTCCTGCTCTTCCGTAACTCTTCCCTCTTGTCTCTCCTGCTCTTTCGTAACTCTTGTTATCTTGCGGATAGTTACATTGAGTAATATCTCCACGCCCTCTTTGTTAGATATTTGAGCAAG